CATCGTCTTGAAGAGGCCCTCGTACTGCCCAGCCTTGCCACCCTGCATAAGTTCGGTGAGCTGCTGCTTGCAATCCTCGGCCACCCTGGAATCAATAGCCGTCGAAGTCGCCCCAGCATATCCTGCATCGCCTCCTGCAGCCGCCCGCTGAGCCGCTGCCTCGGCCGCCTGCCGCTGGCGCCCCTCCTCTTCCCGCTGAAACTGGAGCCTAGCCGCGGACAGGTCGCCCAGGAGGTCGACCACAGACCGGAACTGTGCCGCCTCGGCCGACTTGAATCCAGCAGGAAGATGGCCAAACAGCGTCTCAACCAACCCAGAGATTGCCGACTTCCCATCAGCACCCACAGGTTGAAGGACAGCGCGGCGATGTAGCCGCTGCAGCTCCTCCTCCTCGCGCTTGACGGACTCGGCCAGCTTCTGCTGAGACTCCATGCACTCCGCCAAGTCCTGCTCGAGCTCCTCCATCTTCTGCTTGATCGAGGCCTCGGTGGACTTCGCTGCCTGAAGCTGGCCCTGGTAGTGACCCAACTTGTCCTGATGTGACCGCACCCGCATCCAGGGCGTCTGGCCCTGGTTGTCGTCGGGTGTGGCTGACACGATGGGGATCTGGGGCTTGGCAGCCACAACCAGCGGGTGTTCGGGCCCAAGGCCAGCCAGTGCGAGCTGCTCGATGGCGGCCGACAGGTACTCCTGCTTGGCTGCCCTGTTGTCGACGCCTTTCCCTTTGGCACGAGCGGCAGAGCCACCCTTGCCATGCCACGGGCCAGGCTTCGATGGTGCATCTCCGCCTCCGTCTGGGGACTCAGCAGCATCTTGATCGGGCACGGAACCTCCCTTGCGGCCTCGGCCACTTTGGCCCACCAGCTGCCATGCATCTTGTGCTTGCTGCTCGCCCGTCCTCCTCCAGGGTCTCGGGGGCCCCTGGACAGTGTCGCGAACAACAATATCACGAATCAACTTCTTACAGCGAAAGCACCTGCTCCACTCCACCAACTTGTACTGGTAGCTGCACGAGTTCTTGCCATAGCACGTCTTGTAACCACTCTGCGAATGCGGGCGGTCGCGTGCCTGACGAGAAGGCCCCATTGGGCGGATCTGGGACCACCAGCCGTGCGCGCAACCCGTGAGAGAAAGCAGCAGTAGCTGGGGAAAACCAGCTCTACAAAGCAAAATGCCTCCTTGACCAGGCAGTGAGGCGTCACTGATGGGGCCGCAGACTCCCCCACGCCAGTAAGGTCAGGTCTCGTGCCAAAACGGCTACGGACTTGAGCCAAAATGGCTACGGAGTGAGGTCGGGCATGTCCTCCTACAAGCGGATCTTGGAAGAAAAATTACAAATAGTCAGCAATTGCCCCACAATGCTCAGTCATGATCAACAAAATCGTCCCCAGACTATGTTTGGACTACGTACTTTTGTAGAGGGGCATGCCCGACTTACTCCTAGTCCCGCCCGAAGAGGCCTCCCAGGCTGCCCGAGCAGACCCCAGACCACCTCGCGCCGTGACTCACGGGGGGAAGTCTTTGCGGCGAAATTCGGCCTCCGGGGGCCTTCGCCGGGCCTCGGGGGCGCCAAGGAAGGACTCGGAATGAAAAAAACTTGCCCTGGGGAAAGGGCCAGGGCTTCTGGGGACCGCGCACAGGGGCGCTGGAAACAGTGCAAGTTGGAAAATCAGCGAGACAGTGGAAATGGCAAAGGCTGGAAACGCTGGCAGGGGGTGAAGCGAGTCCGCAACAGTGGGGATGCGGCCGCCAGGGCTGGAACAAATGGAGGGAACCTGGCCAGGGCTGGAAAGAGTGGAAGGGCTGGTCCCGGTCACTTCTTCCAGGTTCCCTGCATTGAAAACTCAATACGTCACACGTCCTGGACGGGGTCGGGGCATCGCACCGCATCGCAGACGCATCGCCAGTGCATCGCCGATGCGTCGGCGAGGCGTCGGCGACGCATCGGCGCCGCATCGGCGCGGGGCAAGTCCGCCTTCACATCGAGCCGCATCGCGGGTGCACCGGTGATGCGGCGCGACCCTCCGACACCCCCTCTGCTCCAACTTCCTCCTGGGAGGCCGCGACGCCCTCTCGCGAACCGGAAACGGCCAATTCCTCAATCGACGTGTCAGGGTAGGAGGTCTGTCCACCACCGAAGCAGACGGGCCTGGACGGACCTCGGGAGGGGTCCGGGGACCGATGCCGAGCGGCGCGGCCTCTCGAAGGGGGGCCAGTCGAGCCGACGGCGGCCCTGCCCGGCGTTCGTCGCCCTCTCCTGACTACCCACCAAACCACCCCAACCCAACCCGAAGACCCGATTTTCGGGTCGGGGGGGTACGGGTTCCAGGTGTGTGTTTTTGACAATGTTCCACGGCCCTCCCCTCCGACTGGAGATGGAGGGCAAATCGGGGCCTCCGGGGTGGTTTCGGGTGGGTCGGTGGGTGGAGATCTCTGGGCCTCCTGGAGGTGCCTCGCCACCGCGGCTGGATCCGCCGCGCAAAACGGGTCAGGATGGACGGGCCTGTTTTCCACTACCGCCACCATAAGTTGGAGGGGGAGTGGGTCCCTCCCCATCCAGACTCCTCCATCCCATCCATCCTCCTCGTCCTCCTAATGCTCCTCCTCCTCCTCCTCCTCATCCTCCTCCTCCTCCTCGTCCTCCTCCTCGTCCTCCTCCTTGTCCTCCTCCTTGTCCTCCTCCTCCTCCTCCTCCTCGTCCTCCTCCTTGTCCTCCTCCTTCCCCCTCCAACTTATGGTGGTGGTGGTGGAAAACAGGCCCACCATCCTGGGAGGCTCCTGGTCGCCGCGGCTGGACCCGCCAGCGCAGAAAACGGGGTCAGGGTGGACCCAACCACCTCGGGAAGGGCCGCATGTTGGCCGCCGCTCGGACGTCCATTCCCTGTGCTTTGTTCGGTTTCGTGCGTGTTTTTTTCGCGGAATGATCCAGGATGCCCCTTAAGTAAGGGCTCCCAACTTCGCGCTTCGCGCTGCGCGAAGCGCGGATAACTTCGCGCTCTCGCGCCGCCTCCCAGGGGAGGAGAGGAGGATGAAGTTGAATCGGAGCCGAACCGCGAAGCGCGAATACCTTCGCGCCATCGAGGGCGCCCTTGAGGATGCTCCTTAATAATCACCGCCGAGAAGAAGTGCACACGTCCGAGCCGACGTGGAGCGGCTGTGCCCCACAGTCTAGGAGGGGCGCCCAGCATCGCATCGACGGGTCGGCTCGGCGAGATCGAAAGGCATCGGATCGGCGGAACTCCAAGGGCTTCCAACTTCGCGCTTCGCGCTGCGCGAAGCGCGAAGTGCGAATAACTTCGCGCTCTCGCGCCGCCTGCCAGGGGAGAAGAGGAGGATGAGGAGGAATCGGAGCCAAAGCGCGAAGCGCGAATAACTTCGCGCCCTCGAGGGCGCCCTTGGAACTCGGCAGCCGAGTCGGGAAAAGTCGGAAGCGGCGGGGGAACATCGGCAGGCTGGCAGGCCTCCGCTGAGACATCGGCGCCCAAATCGGAATCCAGGGACGCATCGAAGCGGAATCGGGAACCGTCGAGATCGAAGCGAATCGGAGCGGAGGAACCGACATGAGCCCTGACAGTCCCTCGCCCGCGACACCCGAGTTCGCGCAGCGCGCCCCGCACCGCGCGACGCGCGGTCCTCTTCTTCGCGCAGCCCCCGTTCGAGCAGGGCAGCCGCTCCGGCCCCCGTGGCGCGGCGCGCGAAGCGCGACCACCTTCGCCTCCTCCTCCTCCTCCTCCTCCTCCTCCTCCTCTTCCGCCGCCTCCTCCTCCTCCTCCTCCTCCTCCTCCTCCGCCTCCTCCTCCCCCTCCCCCTCCTCCTCCTCCCCCTCCCCCTCCCCCTCCAGCGGATCCTCAGAGCGTGTGCTGGCGCCCTCGCGTGCGTGTCCCCCGACGCCCTCCGACGCCGGCGCGGGCAGCGCAGAGCACGAGAGGGCCAGCTCGGGCTGCGCGCAGGCGGCGGGGAGCTCACACGCTGGGCTGACACACGCCCGGCCCAAGGACCATCGAGGAGGAGGAGGAGAAGGAGGAGGAGGAGGAGGAGGCGGAGGCGGAGGAGGCGGAGGAGGAGGAGGAGGAGGCGGAGAAGGAGGAGGGGGAGGATGAGGATCGGTCGGCGCAGATTAGCGACGGCAGGTCACGGTGTGACAGAGCCGCCTGCAGGAGGAGGAGGAGGGGGCAACCCTCACAGAATGGAGAGGGCGGGCCCCGAACCCAAGGGAGAAACCACGGAGAAATGCATCGGGAGGCGCACCAGATGTTTCTCGCATGGACCCCCTCATGCCTCACTCCCTCACCCCTCACCCCCTCACTCCCTGCTCCCCATCCTCCTCCCCAGCTCCATCCCTAATCCGCAGCCTAGTCCGTTGCCAGGTTCTTAATTCCTGGGAGGGTCGGGTTAACTCCCACCGGTAAGATCTAGGCGAGAGCTTGAAGACGGCGGCATGAATTCCGACCAGGAGCCGACTAAGGGCCGACTACACAGCCCGAGAATCGAGCTGTGTAGAACTTGTGATGGATTTGAACCCTCTAGCAGCCTCTGGACTGGTCCCCCCCACCGATCGGCGCTGCGTCGTGCCACGAGCACGCTCCCCCCCTGACAACTCCGCCCTGCAGCCGTGCAGTCCTTTGCCCAATCTCTACCCGTCCGTCTCAGCAGGCCGTTTCTCGTTCTCTGCCCGTCCATCCCGATCCTGCGCCCTGGAGCAGAAACAAAACAGCCACGCGGAGCTACCCGGCTGCTCAACCACGAGGGGCGCCCGGCCAACCACCAAAAAGGCAATCTGCAGATCGTGGAGGGTCTCTCCCTGCGGGGAGCCCACAACTCGTGTCCCTCTGGTGCGAAAGGCCTCCAGGCGGAACAGAACACCGACCCTGCAGCTGCGAGAGGAGCAGCAGCAGCAGAACAGGGGAGAGCCGGAGCGAGATCTGGAGCGGGAGGGCCCGCGCGGCGGCGGCGAGGAGCGCGGCGGCGGCGAAGAGCGCGAGCTTGGGGGGGGGGCCCGCCTGTTGCTCCAGCCGGCACCGCGCCTCCTCTGGAATCCGAGGCGGTTAGCTCGACAGCAGATGTCGTGAGGTCTGGAAGCTATGGAATGCAGAGAGCTTTCGCGCCTCAACTGCTGGTCGACATGGGTGCTCGCAGATGATGCGCCGTCCCCCCCTCCACCCCTCGAATGGCTCGAAGAAAACATACGCCGAATCGTCTGGTCGTCCGTAGTCTGGAGACATACCGAAAGGCAATCGGTGCAGAGACGCCTGAACTTCTCGACACGTGGGACGCTGGAGCGTGTATGCACCGAATTCCGTCGCCCAACTGCTTGGCTTCTTGACCGACCAGAACACTAGAAGAGAAACAATCTACATAAAAATAAACGCTTGGCGCTCCGAGCGGATCTCTTGGATCCGCGCTGGCTGGACCCCCCTCCCTGGTGCGCGGAGCGCGCCAGGGGTGGCGCCAGAGGTGCCGCGAGGGGGGCCGAGCGCGGATCCAAGAAATCCGCGCGGAGCGCCAACAATGTGTGGTTTTGTTTGGGGATCTTCTTCGAGACGTGGTGTAGGTCGGGCATGTCCCCCCCCTACAGGCGGATTTGGGCAGAAAACTCCGCCGACCCTGTCGGCGTGTGTGAGGGGCTCTTCCGTTCGAGTCGGGCTTTCCCGTTCGACTCGTCGTCGCCGTCTTCCTGAGTTCCACTGACCTGGGCCTGTTTCCCTCAGACAAGCCGTTCTCGTCGCCGTCTTCCTGAGTTCCACTCACTCACCTGGGCCATCTTCCTCGGACAAGCCGGTCCTGGGGGGGTCGCCACCGATTCATTTTCCTGCCCAGAAGTAGCAAAGCGAAGAAAAACTCCAAGACGAGCCAAGAGCGCCCCAATACATCCCCAAGACGGGGTACACTTCGACCCCTCAGCCGCGAGAGGCTCCCAGAAAGCCCCCAGATGCTCCAGGGCGTCCCCAAGTGTCGCCAAAAAACTTCCGAAAAAACCTCCAGGAAACCCCTTCGATCAGGGCCGGCGGCACCGGCCGTCAGGCCTCTCCAATAAAACAAGCACAGACAAGAACAACAAATACTCGACAATTCTCGAAAAATCGTCCCCATACTATGTTTTGACTATTGTTGAGTTTTCCTTATGTAGAGGGACGTGCCCGACAGAGACGTTCAAGGCCCTGTGTGAGTATCGTTCAACCGATCCCAATCCCCAGCGGCGAGGCCTGGGCCCCACTGGCCGACTTATCCCCCTAGATGGGGATATGGGTCGTTCCCTTCGGGTTCCGAGGGGTGTATCTCTAACTGGGGTGGTAAGTTGGTGCGGGTCTCGAAGGGGATGGGGATGGGGATGAGTTGGGTTCGTCTGCGGGGTCAGCTCTGGAGGAGGCACCGAAATCGCCGTCAGGGGGGTCACGCAGGGGGGATCGCCAACTCGCTCTTGACGGGCGGGGTTCGGCGGTCAACTCGGAATCCCCGCGCCTTTCACAAGCAAAGGCGGCCTAGCGAGACCACGCCGCCGAATTGCATCAGGCGCACGACATTCGCAGCCCAATCCGCAGATGTTCGTTCGATGCGCTGGCAGGAAGGAGGGGGAGGACCATGCAAAGCGACTGCAGGGGCATATAGACAAGACCGAGAGGAATGCAGACACTAAAGATGTGAGTATATTCGGCCCGTCTGCGAGTCGGTGGACCCTTCCAGGAGGAGGAGGCGCATGAGGAAAAGGCTCATGAGAGGAAGGAGGAGGGGGGAAGGAGGATGCAAATCAAGTGAAGGCGGAGGACGACGAGGGCCATGAGGAGAAGGAGGAGGAAGAGGACGACGAAGCTCATATGGGGAAGGAAGATCACCCCGCACCAACACATACACACTGATCGCTACATTGGGAACGCTGGCTAAGACGCGTGTCGAAACATGGCCTTCACATGCTGACGCCCCCCTGCAAACCTGAACGAAACAAGCCATGGCTTAAGAATCGCAGCGATACCATGTCAACGGGAACGACGACGATGCCGAGAGGACGCGAGCTGTGAGAGGCCACAGCACACAATCATGTGAAGTTCACGGGCCGACGCTGGACAATTATGAATGCTTGCTTCTGCAAGCGAACGATTGTCAGAGCAGGTGTCGCCCCCACCTCGACCCACAAACTGGCTCGACTCAGAGCTGCCCAGCTCGATCTGGAAACTGATGCATACATGCCCCGAGCTGAAGACAGCAACAACACAATGCATCGGCCCCTACCTGAAACAGGGATTGCACAAACACGGCTTATGTCAAAACAAGGCTGTGTGTCAATGTGCTGCATGTGCTTCTGCATCTTCTAAGTTTGGGGTTCGTGGGACTTGAACGCGGTGCGTGTTGCAACCACCCCCCTAGAATCCAAAGCTCAATTGCGCTTGGCGCGCTTGAAACCCTGCGACGGCTGGGCGCTGGAAGCTTTAACCTTCCCGCAAGCGCTGCCGCTCGACTCGCTGCCAGGCCGAGTCTTCCTCGGGGCTGGCGTGGTGAAACCCTCGCGCGGCGATCCCTCCGACTGGGCGGGGGTCTTCGAGGCGAAGCTCGCGACCGAAGCAGAGGGGGGAGCTCCAGCCTCTTTGAAAGGCCACGAACTTGGACCCACAGCGCGGGCCTGTAAGTCGCGCAACTGCTCCCCAAACGCACGCGGCAGCGCGGGGTGGGAAGCCTGCCGCTCGGCCAGGAAGGCCCTGGCCTTGTCTGGGCCCTCGGGGCGGTGGCGAAACATGAACAGCAACCCCGCGCCCTGAATGATCACGCTTGCCTTCGTGGCCCCCCCCCATTGTCGTCTGGGCCACGGCGACAGCCCCACTGGTAATATGGTATCTTGGACGCGCGGGCTGATGGCAGTCAAGCCAGCTGCGTCGGCGAAATCCTTCAAGGTCTCGTGTGCGGAGTTGTGGCTGGAGACCAGTGGCTGCAACTTGTTCTTGGGCATATGAGTGGCCATGGCCTCGTTGAAGTTGTCGTCGGAGATGCATGCTGACCAGGTGGGCGTGGCCGTGGCAGTGGCTTCGGCATGCTTGGTCAGGATTGCGGCCATCGCCTTGAGGATGATCTCCTCGCACTTTTTGCCAAAAGCACCTGCAAGCTAGCACCAGTTGCGGATCGTAGCGATGGGCTAGTCAAGCTGCCAGCCCTTCTTATCGAAGTCCACGGCGACGCGGTCGTTGATGATGGCGTCCAGCTTCGTCAAAGCCCCATGTAGGACTTGCATGATGCACGTGGCATCCGAGCAGATGAAGGTATTGTTGAACATGCTTTTCCCGCTGGATACCTTCTTGCTGACGCGCGCGTCTGCGGCGGCCACCGTTGCAGCCACGTCGGCGACTGCGCACTTGAGGCACAAGATGAACGTGGTGTCTTTGACAGAGGGCTTCTTGGCGTTCGGATCGGCGTTTGCCATGCCTGGCACCTCCAAGTGCGCAAGGACGACTTCCTTGGTGAACCTAGCCAGGTGGTCGTAGGCCACGTTGTGGCGCAGCGAAGACAACGTCGCGAGGTCGCCTCGGCCCTTCGCGAAGTCGACCGACGCGACCGCCACGACGTCCTTGGAATCAGCTTTGGGCACGAGGTGGGAGTACGCACAGACAGCCTCGCAGTCCTTAATAACGTCGCCGTGAACGATGCCCAAGCGCACCTCGGTCTCACAAATGTGTTTCATCTTAGTCTTCAAAGATGCAGCGGTCTTCAAGTCGTACATGCGCTGCCTGCCCGACGCGGCTGCAAAACTGTCCGGATATCTGTGCCGCATCATCGCCGCTGTCGGGCAGCTAGATTACCGTGGCGACTTTCAGGAAGAACGGTTTGGTACGAGTATGCTCATGATCGGTCCTAGTGAAAGTGCAAAGTGTGTTCTCGTCGGCCTTCGGCGCGCTCTCCGAGACCCTCTCGCCGTCCAACCGCCAGTCTGGATCAGCGAACAAGTAGAGGTCCTGCAGGTATGACATCATCTTGTCAATGACCGAAACGTTGTGGTTGAAGTTCTTCTGTGCCGACTCGGCCGACGATTCCTCGTCGAACTTCTCATGCCAAGTGGGGCCCACCCTGGACGCAGCGACGCGGTAATGCTTCCGGGCGTTCAGCGCGAGTTGCAGCATGCAGTCGACGAACGCCTTCAAGCGCGGCCCCATGGCACGCACTTTGGCGTCGATCTCGCGGACGCACGCATAGAGGTGCTTCTTCAATGCGAAAATCGCCACGGCCTCGGGATTATCACCGTCTGTCTTGGCCGACTGGCCTTGGGCCTCGGCGCGGGCCCCCTGCTCCCCGGCAGACGCGACGTCCGCGTTGGAGGCCCCGACGGCATTCACCAGGAGGTCGCCGACCCATCCTTTTCACAGTGTCAGTGTAAACGAAATTCCCCGTGTGCAGTAGAATGTACATGTTGGATATCGCGTTCGCCTACGGTCCAAACTCCAAGCCCCCAAGGCCACGGGAACTCGCCCACACCTCTCGAACTCAAATCTTGGATCACCCCCTCACCCCCGCCCCCTCGAAATCAAATAAGGCGACGGCGGTTAGCGGCAGCATGAACAGCACGATGCATCACATGGAAGACGGGAGTCTGAGGGGGCCAAGCACGAATCACAGGGGGTAGAGCGGACTGCGCCAGCATGACAATCTGCATACCAGTTTTTCCATCAAAAGATGGGGGGCAAGGTGGAGAGGTTGGACGGACGAAGGAGGAGGAGGAGGAGAGAACGAGAGGGTAGATGAGGCAGGGGGGAGAAGAATGGGGGGGGGAAGGATTGGAAAGGGGGAGGAGGAAGGGGCTCTGAAAAGTGGCCCTGCAAGTTTGTTGTGCCCGTGGCTCACCACGCCCCCCATGTTCGTTTCCATCGCGCTCGGCGACCAGCGCTGGAGGGCTTGCTGGCAAGCGATGGCCATCGTCATGCAACTCTCCAAGAATGGCACGAACGCTTCGACCGTGACGGCCTTGCTGTTATTGCCTGAGCGCAAGAAGGAGACGGCGTCGTCGAAGATCGGCTCGAGGTCGTTCTCGAATATCTCGAGGCTGACGTCGCAG